GTAAAAGAAAACAATCTTAGGCAGAAAGTCACTGGACCAAGTGTTGTCTGAGTAAATGTTCTCCAAAATAGTGGTTTATCCTCTCCAAAATAAACTGTGAGAATGATCCCTTGTAGGTCTAAGTCAGAACAGTAAAGCTGTCCTTGAATTTGCAAGTAATAACCATGATTCTGTTTGAGCCTCACTGTTCCATCACCAAGTTTAACCAGAAAAAAATTGAGGGTTTTGCATGCCTTTTGATTTAGGACTGAGTATTCAGCACCAGTACAAGTTCAAGTTAAAATATGAAGATCACAAGAAAGCCTTGAATTTTGGTGGCTTTTTAAGACGATGGCTTGGATATCAAAGATTAGTTTGGAAGAGCTGACCACGCTTCCCATCACTTCCAGTTTTGTTATCAATGTAGGGAAATGTAATTGGATTCCTGTTCAAACAATTTATTGGCTAAGCTTATACGTGGTATTTCGTACATGGTGCCATTTCGATTAAACAAAGCAGGGTTCTTAAAGCATGTCCTGTTATTGATCACATTTTATCCAAACCATTTGGTTCGATACGGGTATTATCTTCTTTTGTAAGTTCAATTATGTCTGAGTCCCGTTGTGAGCAGATTAACCACTTTCATAACGAGATATTGCCAAATATCCATTATGGCTTCTCCTGATTGGGATGTGGAATTTGACGTAGATGAGTTTTTGTCTTGAGGAGGATAATTTTTGGCAGGAAAATCTTACAGTCCTTCAAGCCTATGTTTTCCCACAGTATAACTGTATATTCTGACGCCAGTAATTTTGCTTGTGGAGTGTTTATCCGAAGTAGCAAAAAAATTGTAAGTCATGCTATGTTCACTGATCAGGAAAAGATCACTTAGTTTCACCCATCGCCAGCTCCTCACAATGTACTACTGATAGCTTACAAGCCTTTGGGAGAACTTCTTAGATGCCTGTCTCAAATGGTTTATTGTCAACCTGGCTACTGCTAGAATTGTAGTATGAAACTTTCATTACGACTTTAGTTGGCTTATAAGATGTTTAATTATCATTATTTTTTGTACCGTTTCCAACATAGACTTGCATGTTAAGTGGATTGTTAGAGACTTGAACACGCAAGCTGATTTCGTTAGTATGATCAAAGATTGCAATTATCAGCAACTTACTTACCGGAACCCGAACCCGAACCTAAGAAATAAAAATTGGAGACGTTTCTGTCTTGAGAGTGTCACTAACAATAATTGCTCGATCAAGACTTTTCATCCCCACATTATATTTATTTATTGTTATTATATTTTTTACTGTCGCATTTCTTGCGTATGGCGCAAAATTTTTCTTCGAGAATTTCATATATGCGTGAACGTTGCAACTTGGGATCATGATTGACAAAAGTACTTCTCCTCCCTTCACCGCCTTTCCCTCAAAATGGAAACACAGAGCCCTTTTAAGAAAAGGTACAAGTATGAATATAAAAGTTTTCATTCTTTTCCGTTTTACTGAGTTTGATAAAATGTTACCATTTTACAAAAAACATCTCTGTTTTCGTTTACAGATCGCGACAAAGCGACGAATCTTTTGAAATGTGCGTACGTGTGAAAATGTGAAGTTATTGTGCCTTGAATTTATGTTCGAGTCTGCGGCGGAACAGCATGGGCTGATTCTTTGAATTTTAGTGGTTATGTTCTTTTTTTTTATAAAGTCATGTAAATTACAACTGAATATTTTGTTTTTCTGGTAAAAGTGTCTAAGCGTGATGTATAACTAAGCATGTTTGATAAATTAGAACACATGCGTGTACTAAATAACCAAAGGTAAGCTCTTTCGCGCGATGAAATGTAGTCATTTCTTTGTTTTGTTTGTTTAGTTGCTTTTATTCATTTATTTAATACTCGCTGTTAGGTAAAGTCAAAATACATTTCGATACGAAATATATATTCCATGCGAAACAATATTTGATCGTTAAAAGAAAGGAGATGAAAGGTATTTGTCCCTCGTCTTTGTTTTTACCTCGCACGTGATTACTAAGTTTTACGTCTTCGTTGTCCGGGGTGTTCATTTTCATCCATATATGCTGCCGCTTAATTTTACATGGTTCTAATTACCTTTTCTGAAGTTTAGCCCAGAATGAACAGACTGTTAGCTGCCATGCCAAACGATAAATGGCCTCGAACTTATCACAATCAGACACTGAGGATAACTTCAGCCTGATATCTACTCTAATTTGATTTAATGAATTTGATTTTACAGAAACTCGCCAGCACGCAGCACAGCTGCCGCGCGGGACTGGTTTGGTGCTAAGGACTCTCAGGTTAGTTTTAAGTCATTGTTCAGCACTGTTCAGCGAAAGTTATCTTACAAACGTATCACGTTTAAATTGTTTGAGTTTTCAGTTGAGTTTGAGTTAAGAGTGAGTTACCATTTCTAATATTTTTGTCTTTTTTACTTTTAAAATGGTAAGCGTCATTTACCTTATTTTGCAAAGAGTGCCACAGGAAAGGATGAGGTATTTGAGCAGGGATGGATTTGAAAGAGTGCCGCACGGTGCCGACTGGGGCATTTGAACAGGGTCGCATTTGAAAAAGAGTGCCGCAGGGTGCGGATGGGGTATAGATCTGAATAAGTGCCATAGGGTGGGGAAGGGGTTGGGATGTTTAAATGGGGATGGACTGAAATGAGTGTACGTTAGACTCGTCAGGTGGAGGGACCGAAAAGGATGTTGTCAAGATATTTAGAGAAGGGATCCAGAACATCGCCACAGGGGTCAGGGAGACCAAAAAAGGGTGTGGCCAGCATATTTGGACAAGGTTTCAAAAGACTGCCATATGCAATTGTGGGACAAAAAGGGTGGGATCCAGGCAGTGGGACAACGATTCTAAAAAGTGCTGTAGATGTAAAGGCACCAAAGAAGGTTGTGGTCTGTACATTCGGACAAAGGATTCAAAAGAGCAAGGTACATAGATTAGTGTCACATGTCATTCAAGGGCCGCACCAGGACAAAAGTGTTGCATGCCTGGATAAGAAACTTGAAGGACATGCTACTTGATCAAAGCACCACGGTATTCCACGGTATTACCCTTGTGTGATGTGTGACGTTACTAAGCCATTCATGGCCTTATTGGCCGCCAAATCTAGTTTTTAAATATGAGCTCTGTAAATTTGGTTGTTAACTTTTCACTCTTCTATTACACAATTTGTAACTTCAGAAATGTATTTTATCTAAAAAATAAATACTTTACTCCTACTACTATTATTATTATTTGAATTCATTCCTTTTCCAAATGTCTGGATCACACCTTTTTTGCTTCCCTTTAACCCCTATGGCGCTCTTTTAAATCCCTTGGCCAAGTATCCCGACCACACCCTTTTTGTTTCCCTTTTTCCCATAGGGCAATTTGAGACCTGATCAAAAAGTCAGAACTAAACATTTTTGGTTCCCCCGATCCCTACCGCACTCTCTCCAACCCTGTTGAAATGCCCTGACTTCTTTCCCACCCTGCTGCACTCTTTCGATCTCCATTCAAGGGCTCTGTCCTTTATACCTTGTGGTGCTTTTTCGAATCTATTCCCTTCCACATGCCCCATCCCCACACCGCAGAAACCTTTCTAAACTAACGTGAACGATGTTTATCATTTTCAAAGGAAAAAAAAAATATATTAGAGACGGTAACTCAATTTTAACTCAAGCTTAACTCAAACTCTTCTAAAACTAAACTCTAACTTAACTCAGGCTAGTAATTGTAAATATCCACTCCCATTCGCTAATAAATTACCGTATTCAGTTTGCCACGCCCTTCAATCTTAAAAAGAACTTCCCTCGCTTGGAGGTAAGATGTTTGTAATGTTATCGAGCAAAGAAAATGTTTTTTGGGGGGATCTTGTCAAATCAGAAGCCATTTTAGAGAAAGATGGTGGTCTCTTAGAAAGAATTACAGCACTCGTACGCATTGCTTGCGGCAAATGCACGTTTGTGGTTGTTTAAGACATAACAGGTTTGAAACGGAAAAGGGTTTGTTAAAGGCGTTGAACAAAAATTAGTTACTCTAGTTTCAGTTCTATTACATTACATTATTTGTATGTTTCTCTAATTCAAAGGGAATCTTCAAATTCAGAGCTCGAGGATGAATACAATAGTGATCTTTGCATCATTGACAGTGACAAAGATAGGCATGATAGTGATGATGAGAATTCTGATATCCTATATGATTCTGATAAACAGGTAATACTCTCAATAATATTAATATCTGACAGTAGAAGCTGCATTTATCTGCTGCTTTTTAAAAAAACAAAATACATGGCCAAGTTCTGTTATAATCGTATCAATGACAAATATTCATTTCCACATAATAGGTAACGTTACTTAGCCGTGTCATCATCACAAAGTTAAATAAAGTTGTATTTTACGAATCCTTTATTTACCAGAAATTATTGTTGTTGGTAATTCCGTGAACATACTGTACATTCTCCCGGGGTGTGGCAGAAAATAGAATAGGAGCAAAACCATTCAGCGAAATAAAATTGACAGTGGTATTTTATCTCTAGGGCTGCTCCTCTTTCGCCGAAAGTGACACAGAAGAACTTCCACAGCTATTCAAGAATGATTTTCAACTGCCCATCATAAAGGTAGACTTGGAATCAGGCTTTGAAGAGATAGCAAATCTTCTTAGGAATCCACCAGAAGATTACATCTGCAAGAAAGCACCCGTAAAGTGCGAGGAGAATGCCACTTTTCTTATAGATACGAAGGCCCTATAAAATCCTAATGACTGGAAAGCAGACGATCTAGGTGCTTTTCACAACGTAGGCAAGGTAACAGTTGGATATTTCCATGTTACAGCATCTGGAGCTCGTTTCCTGTCGAAAAAGAAACCGTCCAGGGTGGAGGATGAAAATGTTGTCCTGCTAAAGAAAACGTACTGGACTCATCAACGCCACAAAGATTTTAAGAGATGATGTTTTGAGGGGTATGACTACAAAGAGGTGCGGCTTCCACATGTGCTTCTTTGCTACGAATTCGATGATGAGCCTCACCCTGTCACCACAGCAGCTCATGGAAATGCAAAGAAGAGTAACAGTTCGTACTATCGGAGTCGTCCAAGTACATTGCAGAGCATCAAAGAAAAAGCAAAAGAACAAAAGGGGCCTTCTCAAGTATACGACAAAGTTTTTGAGGACGCTGGAGGTTTGCTTGGATTCCAATCACACGGGATTTTGCCAAGGAACAGACAACAGGTCAGTGATGTTAAACGAAACGCGAAGCCGAAAAAAGACAAAGATGAAATGTGCGAGTTAATCAAGATGTCCAGGCTGGAAGCAAGCCAATTGAAGCCTTTTATAAGAAAGACAACAGGTCAGTGATGTTAAACGAAACGCGAAGCCGAAAAAAGACAAAGATGAAATGTGCGAGTTAATCAAGATGTCCAGGCTGGAAGCAAGCCAATTGAAGCCTTTTATAAGACGTGTCCAGGTCACGCCAGAGCCATCCTGTATTGTTGCAAGTGACAGACAGCTCAACGATTTAGTACGATTTCGTACAACACAGTTCCTTCCAGCGTCAGTGCTGTGTATAGACACAACATTCAATATTGGTAACTTCTTTGTTACCCCTACCACCTACAAGCACAAAATCCTGGTTGACAGGCAGTACGGAAAGGAACCTACATTATTGGGGCTGACTATGATCCACATGCAAACAAAGGCAGAAAGTTACAACTTTTTCGGTTCGTCGATTGTCTCCCTCGATGATGAGCTAAGCAACATTCTGGCGATTGGCTCCGACAGGGACGTTGCACTGAGGAAGGGATTTTCATCTTGTTTCCCGATCGCTACAGAGCTCTGCTGCAAAGGTCACCTGGAGCAGGATATCCGACGTACGATGAGAGATCTAGGAATCGGCCAGTTTCACGAGAAGTTTTTTTTGGAAGATGTATTTGGTTCGGAGGCAAAAAAAGAACTTGGCCTTGTTGATGCTGTCAGTCGCGATGAGTTTGATGTTGTCCTTGAATCGTCATATCCCGTATGAAGAAAACGCGAATTGGAGGCTAGGCAGTTAACCAGTGAGGAAAGTACCGAATTTTACAGCTACTTTGTAAACTACGTCACAGAGGACATGAAAAGCATGATGATCGCCAGTGTAAGAAAGAAGACCGCGTTTGACGACAGTTTCTTTTATAACAACGACCCAGAGTCGATGAACAATCGCATTAAAACCCGTATAGAAAAAAAGAGGCTCAGTTGGCCTGAATGCGTACAGCAACTCAAGGAAATGTCAGAGGAACAAGAAAGAAACATCAACCGGGCACTAATAAACGAGGGTCCTTATAGGTTTCGTCCTGAATGTCGACGACTGATAATACCAGCAGAAAAGTGGCTAGGAATGTCAAAAGAACAAAAGGAGAGAAAGTTGAAAGAATTCCAGAAGATTCCGTTGTCGAAAGCGTTTGGAGTTAGTACCTCCGCTACCATTTCCTCCACTTCTTCAATACTAGAGGCAGCAACAGAAAAAAAGCCTTCTTCTGGCAAGAAACCGGGGCAGAGTGGAAGACGTGGTGGACGACGAAGCCTGTCTTCTCCCAGGGACACAACTGGATTCCGACCAAGAATAACAGTTACTGAAGAGCATTCCTCGGGCGCCAGGGACACAAGTGAGTTCCAGCCAAGGGAAACAGCCAGCGACTTGCAGTCATCTATGCCTACAGATACGAGTGGGTCCCACGAGCCTAAGTCATCTGAGCGTCTGTACACATGCACTTGAATAAAAGGGCCAAGTCGCACTAGAGGACAAAACTGTTTATTTATGTCAAAAATCTGTCATCACAATGAAAAACCAAGTGCGACCGGTTTGTTCACCAAAGGACAAAATTTGGTCGCGGGCGGACAAACTTCAAAGATGCCGTCGACTACCTCTGGAGCAGGCCAAATTGAGACAAATTTTGGAAAACAATAGCGAGGGTGTTTTAATTCGGAAATGATTTGACAGGTGATATGTAGCAGAGTCTCTATGCTATAGACTTCGCGGCAAAATTGGTCACGTTCTCATTTCGCAACAACATGAATCCAGGCACGGGCAACCAATACTTTCCGTATGAAATGGGGCAACAATATCCTCAATATCCACCAGGATGGATATATCCGTTGCCTAGCACTTACAATTTTAATGATCGAGGAACTGCAAGCCCATCTCCTTCAACCGCAAGTTCTGGCTCGTTGTCAGAATCCTTTCCGTTCGTCGAAGACGGCTCAATGCCGGAATCATCCCAAACTTCTTCGCGCCGTACATCTTCCGAGAACAAGAAGGCCCAGGAACGATGGACTAAAGATGAGGAAAAACTGTTAGTCCAACTATGGGCTGAAAAACACGATCAGTTGGAAAGCAGAGAGTGCAGGAAAACGTGGGCCTGGATCGCTGAGAAGATTTCGAAAGCGCTACAGTCCAACAAGACGGCCGACAAATGTATTCGGAAAATGAAGTACATCATAGAAAGATACAAGAATGCAAAAGATTGGAACAAAAACCAAACAGGAGGAAACCTTAGGAAATCCGTCTACTACGATGAGGTCGATAAGATCCTTGGATGCCGCGACCTAGTAACCTTCAATAATGTAGCCGAAGCGGGGATCAGCGGCGAAAGTGCCCCCCAAGTTGTAGCTGAATCAAGTGATACTACTGGCGAGAACAGTACTTCATCTAGCCCCAATGTGCTACAAACTCCAGCTGAAAAGAGAAGAGCGTCAAAGAAAGGGAAACGAGCTTCGAAACGCAAAGCTCCTGATAATGACAGCGACGAAGAGTTCAAGATGGCTCTAAAGGATATGAGGCAGCAGGGGGAGAAAGTTACAGCATTTATGGATTCTTTGCAACAATCACAGACGCAGCAGCTAGCCATGATGAACCAATTTATGGGCTCCATTGTGAAAATCCTTGGCCAACAGAATGAGAAAGACAACTGAACTTTAATTCAAGACTGTTTTGGACTATTGGGAGACAATCATTATCGACCATTATCAAAAGACATGTTATTGTTTATGTTGCGAATCGATCAAACGAAATTATGGAAACAAATGAATGTACTGCTTGAACTGATTTCTTGTTGTAAATGCAAAAATTATCTTTATCACACACTTCTCTTTAAAAATCTGAACAATAAATGTCTGTAAAATTGCAGGAAAATTCAATACGGTGATGGAAATCGTTTCTTATGATTCAACAATCGCATGTTGAGCACAAATTACAATGCAATATTTTTATAGTATTTTCTCGTTGATTTTCTTCTATTTTCTTTGTGAAATATCAAATACAGTATAAGTTTAAGTTCGAAGGATTAAATAATTAAAAAAAGGGATTTGAAGAATCATAGACTGTTTTTTAGCAACTCTCTTATATCTTCCCCGTCCTGCATTAAGTCATTGTTCTGTTCGTTTCCGCGGTCATCATCGTCATCGTAAAAATCATCCTCCCATTCGTCCCCAATTTTAATGCAAAAGTTATGCAGCACTGCACAAGCAATGGCAATCTTCACAGAAAAAGTTATTCTGCTATCCAACCGCTTTTGTAGAATTCGCCAACGACTTTTGAGGCAGCCAAAAGCGCACTCGATGGTTACTCGTGCAGACGACAGTTCCTTGTTAAATGTTATCTCGCCAGGGTCACGCGTCGCTTCAGGATAAGGCTTCATAAGCCAGGGGGAAATAGGGTATGCGCTGTCTCCTACCAGGTAAGGCTGAATATCTGTGATGCCGATTCTTTCAACGGGTTCCTTGAGTATATCTCCGTTGCTTGCTCTTAGATAAAGCGAGCTGTTTCGATATACCCTAGCGTCGTGGATACTTCCCGGATAACCCGCTGCAAAGTCAAGAAATAATCCCTTACCGTCAGCAACGGCCTGAATAATGAAATCATGTTGCTGATTTCGACTAAAATAATCAACAGCACTGTCTCTAGGAGCAACTATTTTGATATGAGTGCCATCTATGGCCCCAACAATGTTTGGAAGTCGTGATTTGTCCGTAAATGTCTCTATACACCTCATTGTCTCGGCCACTGTTGTTGGGAATTCGATGTACTCATTCCTTAAGTCATAAAGAGCCTCAACCACGTCTTGACAAGCCTCTATTGCTGTAGTTCTGCCGACGTTTAGCGCAGGTCCTATTGTTTCGTATGAATTTCCGTGTGCAAGGCGAAGCAAACCACAAGCAAGGACCTTTTCAGGAGTGAGGCAATTTCGCAGAACTGTATTCTGTCTCGTCAGCCGGTTACGAATTACGTTGAGCAACAAATCAAAGCTTTCTCTGTTCATTCGTAAGAGCCTTCGAAAGTAGTCCCCAGGTATTGTTCGATCAGTATAATGGATCTCGAACCACGATTCGACTGGACGAGGAAGAGTCCAATAGTATGGTGCTCGTCTTCGATAACGATTTCGTTGTCGGCGAATACATCGTGTCACTAGAATGTTTTGTGCACGTAAATTCTGCATTAATAACAGACAACATATCATTAAATTGATATTGATATTTGCTTGCTGATGAAGAACCAGAAAATAGAAGAAAAATATTATTGCTAGAATTCTTCGTGGAAACATTTTGAGATCCCTCGTGTCGCGGTTTGTGGATTGAAACAGCGGGTAAAGGCTGCTTCGCGGGAAATTGCGTGACGCTCACAGCATGGTGTGATGTTTTGTTCACAGATTTTGTTCTCAAGTGCGACTGTAGCTTTCCGGACAAATTTTTTGTCACTGCCCGATTTCAAGTCAGATTTGTCCTGGACAAATCTGAAATTGTCCTCTAGTGCGACTTGGCCCAAAGACACCAAAGCGTACATGTGCTACGGATGTGACTATCCACTCAGGCCCAAGCCAACAGGTCAGCCAAGTGCTGTGCTGCCCCCTGCACGCTTTGATGTTATCTTGTGTCGCAAGGAGCCCAGAATGTACAAAACCAGAGCGGGCGCTCTCACCTTCTCGGTGCAGCCCCAGAATGTCTATTACCATTAAAAGAAAACATGTGTGTTAAATAAAAACAAACACTTTGCCACAGAAGATCTATGTGTTAAGCTTGCGGACTAGAAGCTGTTGACATTCATCAACTGCGCAAAGAATTCGGCTTCATAATTCCAAGTGATTAATTTCATCAGTGTTATGATGAATACAGTAACAGTAAGCCCGCTAAAGGATCTTCTTTTGTTTTGTACCTGTTAGTGGTTAGAGAATTACTGTTCAATAATATTGTGCATGGTTAATTTTCACACAGGTTATGAGGTCTCGGCATGCATTTCAAGTTTAAATTAGAACCATGTTGAAATTTGTACGGATCAGTTAAGGTTTGTGGGAAACTGCCCACCTACCCCTCCCCTAACCCAACGTTAACACTGACTTCTTACTTTAGGCAAAATGTTGGGTTAGGGGAGGGGTAGGTGGGTAGTTTCCCAGGAACCTTAACTGATCCATTTTAAATTTACTTTGTCATTGTCAACATTTATTGGTTTAAAATAACTGAAACATTTTTTAAATCACACCACTAATTAATCCGAATAGTAGAATCCATGATTGTTATAGTAAATTTGTAAAGTAACAAGAAACAATCTTAGTCGTTTAACCATAGACATCCTCTTTTGATCTCCAGAGGCACCGAATCATGATCCATATTCAGCCAGTTAAACGTAGATTGTTAGTATGCAGTTGAAAAATTCATCAGACTCAGATAGTCCTTTTTTATATCAAGAGAAGTCTTCAGACATTTTTATTGTTTCATTTTAAACATTTTCATTGTCCCTGTTTTATTGACAATTGCAGGTATCATGATTATTAAAATTGTCGTTCTTTATCCCTTTAACTCCCACGGGTGATTAGCATGTAACTTCTCCTTATGACATTAATACCCAATCCAGCAGACAGGAGATGAAAATAGACAAACTAATCAGCCATGGGGTGTTATCTTCATATAACCTCAAATTCTTCTAACTGATGTACAAGAAAATGTCTTGCAGCTAGAAAGTCTTGGGAGTTAAAGGGTTATGACATTTGTGTTTATAGTGTTTTGCAAACAGCACAATCTCATTTGTGCTATCAAACAATTAAGCTCAAGGCTTAAACCTTGCCAGAACAGTGATTGATTGCAGAAGAGTTATAGGAATTACAGTGGGGCATTAATCACTTTTTCAGTTATCAGGATAATTTTAAAGGTTGACTGGGGCTTTCAAAGTGGGTAACACATCCGTCCAGCGTTACGTGGAGGTCTTCAGACATTTTCATTGCTTTCGTTTTTCCACATTTTCATTGTTGCTGTTTTATTAACAATTAAAGGTATCATGATTATTAAAGTTGTTTTTGTTTAAGAAATTTGTGTTAGTGTTTTGCCAGTGGCGCAGTCTCATTTGTGCTATCAAGCAACAAAGCTTTAGGCTCAACCCTCTCTAAAACAGTGATCAATTGCTGATTGATAGAAATAAGGTTTAATTTTAAGAGTAACCAGTTGTTCAATTATCAGGACAATTTTATAGCTAGACTGCAGGGCCTCTGCTAGTGGGTAAAATCAAGCTAGTGGCACTTATTTCCTGTCTAATCCCCCTTTTTTTAATTTTGCTCCCGTAATCCCTTCGTCATTACTAAGTATTTAAATTACAGACAATTAGGTCCCACTGTTATTACCATTTAGAACTAATAATAAACAGCTTTATTATATGGAGGAGAGTGTTTTACTGGGAACTAAACCACTCGTAGATTCAATAC